TTTAACTGAGACTCATCTACCCAGGAAGTTAATAAAAATTATCTAGTGGTATAATTTGAAGCAGATTAGTTTGATTGCATTGAATCAGTTTTTGGCACTTACTCAGAATTTAAATGGCTTTAATTTATTTCAGCTTATTCTGTTCTCCAAATAACAATCAAGTAAGGTTGAGCTAGACTTAACTCTTGGGGGCTTTTAGAAGAAGCATATTCTGAAGAACTTGAACAATGAGAAGCAGAGATTTACCTCAATTTGTGGTGCAGTGGGTAGCCAGAATTGGGCATAAGAACATGCCTGATAAGGGACAGGGTGCAGAACAGAAAACTGAGTTGTCACTGGGAAAACTGAGTTCTGGAAAATTAAAATTGACTTAAATATGAAGAACATTTAAAAAATTATTCATTGATTTGAAATCTGACTATAGTACATTACATGATAATCTAGTGTTGCAACATTTAGAGAAAGCGTGAAGGAAAATATACTTTGATATAATGTGAGAAAATGCTATATAAAATGGAAAGTGATGAAAAAGATTTAAAATGTCTCAGAGATCCAGATAATTATCCACCAAAACCCATTATTTAAGAATCTGTATTTTCAGTTTATTAGCTGTTTTTCCCACATAGATAAAGCAAAACTCCATGGAAATATAAGCTGTAGAAAATATCTTTGTCCTATTGTCCTGTTTTATAATAGAACATTGTTTAAATTCATATATTCTAGTAGCAATAATAAAAATCTTACTTGAAAAATGACTGGAAGCTGAACTTTCATAAACACTTCAGCAATTTAGGAGCTTAAGAACTAATGAAAATTACCTTACCATTTTAAATATTAAGCCTGTTAAGATAACCTTGTAACTTTTTACCTTTTTAAACACTGGAGTTTGTAATTCTGTAATAATTGAAAACCACTTCTTAGAGACAATATTTTGTCTGTTAGAAGGTTACTACATTCTTGTGTTAGAAGAAGACTGACTTTTTTTCTCCTTTTTTATTTCTTATTTATATATATATATATATATTTTTTTTTTCTCCCAGAAAATGTTTGGTGTTTATCTGTAATGGTACAACCCAAATGGCTAACAATGAGGAACTGTGTTTATAGAAGAGATGTGATCTGGACTCATGACACACAGACATCTTCAGTTTTGACCATGTGTAGATTCCTGACAGATGATTTTTGTGACTAACTGTACTCAGCTTTTGGACCAGTGTTTGTGCATATTCCTGTAGTGCCATAAAAGAAGTGTTTCATGTATACCTACACATTCTGCATTAGCTCCCTGTGTGAAGAGGTCCTCAGAGACCAACGTGTCTGTGCAGTCTGTGCTTGAGTTGTACACACTGCAGTTCTGCTCATATCTGTGGGCCAGATGAAAGTGAGATTGCAGGCTAATAGGACATTTACTCAGATGGCATTTTGCCAATTTTCTGATAAAATGATTGCTAAATAAACCAAGAGTTAAATGCAACGTGCTGCCAAGGAACATAGTTTGCCTTTTGCTGTGAGGAGTAGAATGTGAGTCAACCAAAGCATTCGGCTACAGCCCGCTTCCAGGCTTGAGGCTGAAATGAGATACTTGTTTGCCCACACCTGCTGTATGTCCATCATTTCTCAAAATGCAGAGCCTTGTAGGTACACCACCTACAGGTGAATGCAGGCTCACAAAGCTACTTCTTGGTCTGTGATACAAATGGGAAGAAATCCCAGCTCCAGTTGTACCCACATCAAGTTCAATTAATACTGCAGAGTCAAAGCCCAGCGAAAAAACGTGTTCAAATGAAGTGTGTGATTTTTTCCCCTGTGTCCTGGAATGGCACAAGAAATATTCTGGAATCCAAAAAATGGAAAAGTAGAGCCAGAACTACTTTAGGATATGAACAAAGTAGTGTAAGCTTTGATCACAAGATCTCACCAGTATCTGTCTGTTCTGATATTAGCACACTAGTATTTCAGTGGATTAAACGCAAGCAAATTCAATCATAAGACACTGTCCAAAGTTGTTTATTGTTTCAGAGGAAAGAGTTTATTTATTAGTATCCTTTTCTTTTGAAAAATAGATAAACAATTTTCCTAGAACAGCATTTTAATATATATATATATAATTTAAAAATTAAATTATTGTCTAAGTACATGATTTTCTTGTGCTTCCTTAATAAATAAGTTTTCATAATTACCCATTCACAGATGTATCGAAATTGTTTCTGGGGAAATACAAAAGACCTCAAAAGTAGGTTAATGAGCCAAACTATTACTTTCTCATACCTACCTCCTGTCTTCTCTTACTGACAGTTATGATGTAGACAAGGCTATGAGAGCAAGTAGATAATTGCACTTTCTACATTTTTTTTTTTCTGATTCCACCCTTTATACCGACTATAATGATTTGTGCATGCACATGTGTGATTCTACTAATTTATTTATAAACTTCTACATAAGTATTTTAGGGTAGATACAAATTTCTTATTTTGCTAACCTAATTGTGTTATCACTTAACTTTGGAGATATATGCAGAAAGGCAGACAAAAATCATTTGATATTTCAGTAAAAAAGTATGACTATCTTTCAGTGATTTAGAAAAAAAGGTCTTTACCTGCTTGTTCTGCTTAGCAGCAGAAATATTTTTAAGGTTACAGATGTCTCAAAATAAAGGGGTGTGGGAAAGATTTCACTTTTAACTGAATAAAATTTCCGCCAACACCATAAAACTGAAGTTCTGATTACATTAGTATTTGTTACCGTACTGGAAATGATATATCAGAATTGAGGCTTTGAAAAATTCGGAATTTGTGGTTATTGATAAAGCAGTTTGTAAACTAAATTCACACTTCCCAGCCATGTAGGTGCTTTAATTTCTGTTTGCCTGTTTGCTGGATTAAATGGAAGAAAAGACGGAAGTAATTGTTTCTCAGGCTCTGGCTCCAGCCATTAGTGATGTTAAAATGTGATGTTACTTACAGGAAACTGCATAGACCTTTAAAATATGGTTGTTTTGTGGTTTGGATTACAGTTAAATTACTTAATATGATGTTATTCAGAATTAAATTTCTTATCTAATTTTTGTAGAATGACACTAAAGAATGGAAAAGTGATTTTAGGAAGTTCTGTAGGTCAAGAGGACAATGTTGATTCATATCATAGAGATTTTTAGGCACATCATTTTGAAAATGTTTGCTTTTGTCTGTACTGTATTCCTGTAAGCTTCATACTGTGTTGTTTGGTACTGGAAATGCTAAGAGGAAGCAACTTGGAGGGCTCGATGGCCAGCTGCCTGATTGCAGTGCTGGTAGTTGAAGGGCCAGCAAGCAAGCCAGAGGAAAATGTTCACAGTTTTGAGGGTTCTATCCAGGGCTTCCAAGAAGAGGGTCAGGTCAATTATTTACTGATTGTTGAATTGCCAAAACCAAACCAAACAACAAACAAAGAAAAAATTGATAACAAATGTGTAATTTATTATTGGTTAAGGTTTCTCTGAGGTACTGTAAGGTCACAACATTTGCCATCAGCCAGGTTCTTGCTCCTTAGGAAAGGCAGGCTTCTTCTCTGACAGTGTTTATCAAGAACAATATCAATATTATAAGTCCATTTTTGAGAAAATGTTCAGAATGTAATGTTGGGAATAGCTTAATTTTAGCTGTAATTGGAATCGTAGCAATAACTGACTCATATTGCAAGGGTAAGGTTGGTGGCAGTTTTCTACACTTCTAGGTATCTCCAGTACTGTTTCATCTTTTTTTTTTTTTTTTTGACAAATTTCATACCTATTCATTTTTACAGTAGGTAAGCTGACATTAAAATGATGGTGTGAATTTGTTCATTATCTGCAAAGATGGCAAAAATGGATTTCTCAGCCTATTTCAAGAAAGTCTCCAGCTGAACAAAACATTTTGTTCCAGTATTGGAATGCTGCATTGTGTTATTTTGGAAATGTGAGAGGAAAAAACTGTGAAAAGAAAATTCCCATCTGATTTATCAAGAAATCTATTTTAAGTTTTGTGATTTTTTTTTCTCTGAAACAGTTCACTACATTGATCTATCTCTAATGGCCAGTACAAATCCATAGATTATGTTATAATTAATAATGACACAACAAAATGAATCCTTAATTTATGAAGCAAGAATTCTTTTTGAAAGGTCATATTTTTATGGCCATGTATATTTCTTTTTTAAGCAATTCAAAGTGTTGACAAAAAGAGATTTTTCACACAAATATTTTTCATTGAAACAGAAAAAGGAAATTCTTATTTAAATATATGAAATTAAAACACATTTTTCTTTGCCATTTTCCTGGAAAAATTCTATGCAGTTTTCTTTTTCTATTCTTCTGTTTCTTCTCTGTCAAGTGAGGCTAAACCTAAAACTAGGTTTTACTCCTTTTACATGTATTTGTTATCATATTACATTATTTTGCTGTGATTTTTCATTAAGTTCATTCTGATTTCATGCTTTACAAAGGCTAAAAGTTCTTCTACAAAAAATACTATAGGTACTAGTACACAGCTGATTTCTTCCTTGTCATCTAAATGGTGGTAAAAGACCCTAAACATAAGGTATTGAAGATTTGCAATGGTTTCTGTGAATGGAATATTTCCTCACTTTCTTTTGAATTCAATAAGTTTATAAGCAACACTGTCTTTTCTTAGTATGACTTAAATGTGATTGAAGTGATTAATTATCTTCCTTGTCTCATTACATAGATTTCATGTTGATGATTTTACTACCTAAAAAATTAGCCAAGTTTTAAAAACAATAGTTTTTGTTACACTTTGGTTTACTATATTTATTAATAGTAGTTGTCTGAATGTCAAGGAAATGACGCATGTGTATAAAAAGTAAAAAACGGCCAGCAGCATTCTTTAGATTTCAACACATGATTCCAGTGGCCTTGCCCTTTGGCCAAGACTTTTGTTGAGTTTCTTCTGTAACCTTTATCCTTATTTATATTCCTTCCTTTCCCTTTCGAGGGACGTTTTGTATTTGTTGTGAACCTTTTTAACCTTTTGACTAGAAAGTGGGATTTTTTTTTTTTTATTTTTTATTTTTTTTTAAGAAATGAGATCATTAGAAATGAGAATTGCTGGCCTGTCTGCTAAGTCATGGATTACATCTTTTCCTACAGAAGCTGCAGCACAAGGACAAAATGTGCATCTTACTTTTCTTGCCCCACTACTGTGCCTTAACCCCTTTACAAATAAACCGTCTTTAAGAGAGTCACACTGTTTTTTTGTATTTGTTGGAAGTATCTTTAACACATTTAGCAGTGGCTTCAGCTATCCCTAATTTGCCTAAAAATGTGTGCCTAAAACCTATAGCAGAACTGAAGGATGTAAGTATACTGCCTGTGGCTGCCTTAAGACTTTGGCAAGTATTTGATGCTGATGGCATTTCAGTGAGGTGAAGACCTATACTGACTCCATCATCTCCCAGGGAGCCTAAAAGCTGGCACAAAAGGCAGCACAAAGTTCTCACATAGTCATCTCAGCAGATGGTCTCTTTTTTCCAGAAATGCCTCCTCATTCCTACTGGCTTTCATAAGAGTTGGTAAATGTTCAGCATTTCTGAAAAATCTCGTGTAGAATTATAGGAGGTTAGCTGTAGCATCCCATCCAGTTGTTGTTGAGAAAAGGAAATAACTTCTTTAATGGCCCGAAAAAGATGCATTAGAAAGTGTAACAGTCTGAGTCCCCCCCCCAAAAAATTTGAGTGTACATAAACTGAATGTTGCCCTGACATCCTTTCTAAATTAGAACGTGACCTCTTCAAGCACCACATCACATGTCCTTTAATACAGACATTTCAGTGAGGAATTTGGGTCCTCCTGCCTTATGGTAGAGCCTGTAGATTCTAGAGGGCTGCGGAAAAGCTGCAGCTGTGGCTTTGGTGATCCTGGCTGCCTTCTTTGATAAAAGAAAATAAAAATAAAAAACTGGGAGGACTCTCCCCAGTTCTATCCTGAGAAAAAAAAACTCTGAGCAGCTGGTATTACTTGAAACTCCTAAATTTTTATTCTGTGTGGATGACACACAAGTTAGAGAAGATGAGGGAAGAACTGTGGTTTATACTTGTGAATTTGCTTGAAATAGAAAACAGATTTCACACTTGAGATGAAATATCAAGATATGCAGGTCTCTCTGGAACACTATCTTTGGGTATGATGTCTTTGTGCTGTCTACATGAAACTGCATTACAGCACCAGTATGCAGGCAATAAATGGAAGAATGGTAAGTGGTAAAGTAAGTACTCCATTACACTGAAGTTATCACTAGATTAACATTTCTGAAAATCCAGGGGAGCTGAAAAAAATGGAAATGGGTGGAAGGAAGCTTGAACTAAATACACAAAATGAAATGTGCACTAAAATCTGTAAGAACACCCCTCCCCTCCAAAAAGCCAAATCTCAGAAGTTTAAAGTTAACTCAGGAAGCATAAAAGAACGTCATTTATTATAAATATTAAATGGCTTTTGGGTCTTGTCTCTAAGAACTACTTAATGCACAGAGCCCACATTTATGTCTGCTTTCCAAGCACATTTCCAAACATGTTTATGAGCTAAAGGAGCAAAGGTAGCCAATTTTGGTTCTTGTTTTGTTAGGCCTGATTTATAGACTAAGTAGTGTCTGAATGAGGTAACATGGTTGTTAACAAGGCTGGTATTTTGAAAAGAAAGATATTTTGACAGACAGAAAGTTCAGTAATAGTAAAAAGTTGAAGTTTCACAGTGAGAACTTCTGCTTTTATCTAAAGGAATGTCCTACCAAGGTGTCTATCTCTCCCTTTGCGATAAAGACAAGTCAAGTCAAGCTTTGAGCCTGTAATTCACATCTACATCAGGTATCTTGAGCAAGTGGTATAAATTCATCATTAAGTTCAAATCTCCCTGAGCCAGAAGTCCGAGGTTACCCCTTACTTCTGCCAGGAAGGGTTTCTAGGCATAACATCACACATCCTTGCAGGGCTGTGCAGCTCTGTACCCATCTCACAGTGCAGCTGGAGTGAGATAAAATGACTTGGCTTTCCTCCGCCTCCACCTCCTAGGAAGGCTGCTCGGGTGGGTGGTGTTCAGAGCACATCAAGCCCAGACCTCAAAGGATTTGGGGCCTTAGGAGATGCGGTGGCTACTTGCACTCAGGATCATAGCTAAAGGCTGCAGTGACGCACCTTTGCAGAATGCAGATGACTGTTGGATGAGGTGAGAAACATGAATCCTGTGCCTGCCCCAGCCAGGGCTTGCACCCATATGTGCCACACAGCCTGGGAGTGCCCTAGTCAATAGGACAACAGCTGTTAGGGACTGAGGGAATGAGGAATTTTCCATTCTTCTATTAAAAATGCACCAAGGGAAGGATTTAAAGTTTCTTTGGGCTAGTGGGAGAATTCAAGAACCCGTCTGGCCTTGGTGCAGGTGTTGGGACACTGCTTTTACTGTTATGGCTGGGTTTGTTTCTTGGGACGAGTGGGGTGCAGCCTCAAACCTCCCTGAGCTGAAAAGGGCATTGAGCCTGGGTCTTCCCTTTCCTCAGTAGTGTAATGTCACATAGCTGATCAAAATGGGAACTTGTGCCCTGCTGTTGAAAAGATAAGACAGATTTCTTCCCTGTTTTTAAAGGGTTTGAGTTTCCTCTTTAACTCCAGCAGAGGAATATGGACAACCCCAGAACTGAGCACGTTTGCACACTATAGCTATGCATGTAAATCTAGAGCCTGTCTTGAAGAAGGTTAGAGCCAGGATAGTCTCTAACCATCCATCAACCATTTTCCCCTTTGCCAACATACTGTTCTGCCTGATGTGGTGGCTGGGGACCCTCCTCTGGCACACCACCTCCTTCCTCTGCACAGCAAGATATGCACAGAGCTCTGCTAACTCAGGGCTGTGCAGTCCCCTCCACCCATGCTCAGGTATAGAGACCTACAAGTTTGTAGCAAGGCCCTTCACAGAAGAAGACAAGACATTTTGTTTTGATCACCAAAGTTAAATTTGATGGGGTGGCTCACATCAATGCCAATACCTATAGTTCTGTAGGACAAAGATCTAGGATAACTACTATATACTTCTAAGAGGATGTTTGTATTTTTTGTTGCTTATTTTGAAATGAAATTTTGAATGTATTTCAATGCTGGTAAGATGGTATTTATTGCTAAATACTAAGATGTAACTTGAAGTACTTGCTGAAGGTCAAATTCTCACCCAATATAAATTTCCATTGCCCTGTGAAAAGCAATATATTTGTATCTGTTGTCACCACCTGAAAGATATGGTTTGGAAACGTGAGGGGAAAAAAAAATAGTGTGTTGTAATAAAAAAAAACCAAACTCAAAACCCTCTAAAACCAAACCAAAACAAAAGATAAATGCCAAAACCAGAAACAAATTAAAAAAAAAATAAGAGAGTGAGAAAGAGGCAGAGATGACAGTACAACACTATGCATGTGTTTGTATGAAGAATCTCTGCAGCATTTCTGTGCATTGAAGAAGGAACTGAGTGCCGCAGTAGATGACTGCAAACTCACATTTATCTCTGGATTTTCTTTTGCTTCTGGAAATCACAAGATAAGCTGAGAAAAAGACATCAAAATGTATTAATGAAATATATAAGTATGTAATGGATCTTGATTAACGATATATCTTATCAAATAAAACATTACATCATTCATGATTCTTAAATATGATTTGCCAACAATATTCCATTTGGCACTGTTTTCAAAGGACATTGTTAAGGTTTAGGAGATGAAGTTTTCAGGTTAAGTTGTTATAATGAAAACACCACTCAATATGTACGGCTTGAAAATCCATTGTTAATTAACAGCATTCAGTTCTTAATTGTCTTTTTACCAGTTCAGTTGAAATCATTGACACAAAATACATTGTTAAACTGCTTAATCAATCATTGTAGAAAAATAGAGGTGTTTGATAGGGACATTCTAGTACAAAGTTTACGTGAAGCTTCCCCATTGAAAGCTTTGGAGGCTTCTATTTTTTTTTAAGCTTATGTTACAAAAATGAGATTTCATAAACTTTACAGTCCATACTACATGAATACCAAAGACAATAAAATACAGGGGGAGAGAGAGAGAAAGAGACAAACACACACCTTAAGCTTTAAGTGCCCTATTCACAAAAATATAGCTTACACATGCGCATGCCCCAGTGGCGTAAAGTCTATTTTTTTGTGTTTGAGGACACAAAAAAAGGTTCTGTTAGGGCCCTGAGCTGCTGTTCTAATCAACATAAACTTTTCTTAAACTGCAGCAATGAATTATAGAGTGGCCCAGTAAATTCCAAGAGCAAAAAGCAGGTTTATCCTCGGAGGAATGGTTTGCCTTCAGCTCATGCACCTTTTGCTAGGACTGCAGACTGACACAGGCTCTTCCCTACCCACGTGTTACCCCTGGGTCTTCTGCTGTAAGGCTTCTGTCTTCCAGCAGAGCTTTGGAGTGACCTTGCCTTAAAAGTGCTGGGTGCCCCTCGTGGGTGGCCTTACAGATGGGCTGTGATGTGTCAGTGGGAGTGTTGGGCTGGTTCTGGTACCAGGGCAGAAGACCAAGCTTTAAGAGGTCTATAGCAAAAGGAGCTGTATCTCAGAAAACTTCAGCATAAATTACCTTTACCTGGTTGACAAAATCAGCCATCCCAACTGGAGGGAACAACAAAAAAAAATCCATATTCTGAACCATTACTTAAATCACGCTGCTCTGTGAAAGCCTTTCAGGAAAGATGCTCAGAGATGAAACAAAAGACTTCCCATCCAGCCTGACCTGCCCATCCCTGGTGGCAAACCTTTCTCCCACACCCTGCTCTTCCTGCCTTGGTATTAAGCACAGCTGGAGGACCTGCAAAACCTTGTGGATTAACCACACTAGGTGAAAATTGGCAAGGGGCAGTTGTTTCAGCAAAAAACAGAGAATATGTATGGACTTGGAGTGAAAGCTATATCACAGTGCAAAATTTCTACCTGCCCACTGAGATTCTCCTGAGTTTTTTTTTTTTTTTTTTCTTCTTCCCATTTTAATGTAAATGTTTCTGCACTAAAATGCTTCAGACTCCTTTCAATATATTTCTCTGTTCTGCAGTGGGCAGGTATTAAAAGAAAACAACACAAACAAACCAAAACCAAGCAAATTAAGGCTGCAGCTTCCTTTCCTTCACTGACAGGAATGTTGTTGTGGATGGGCCAGAGCAAAAGCCCACCAAAAGCATCACAACCTGCATTGAAGAGGCAACATTTAACACATGCTGGGCAGAGTCCTTGGTGCTGGGCACTGCTGTGCTGTGGGAGCAGCATCCATCACACAGCGTGTCCATGAGCAGAGGGCCGTTTGGATCAGCTCCCCTGCTGGTGCAGGTGTTGTGGCGTGAGCTATGCAACTGGTAATGTTAAAGTTGTTAAGCCAGGATGTACAGGATTTACAGTGGTTTACAGCAGCCAAGGAGCTAATCTAGGGACCCCTGCTTCTGAACATGGGTGGCAGGATCTATGTGTTTTGCTGAGAAGCCCTGTTGAAACCTGTTACCCAGGGATGGCACGTGTTTTGTGACTTGTTTTGGGACTGACAAAGCACCGATGCTGTTGGCAAGAGAATTTCTTCCATTATGGCTTCAGCTGAAATTCAGCTGTTTTCCAGCTAGGTGGTTATGATCTGCTCACTACAGGACCACACTTGGTTTTCAATGGCCTGTGCTGCTCACGCAGCAACTTGCTCCATTTAAATCCCATGGTTTGGGTGGGGAGAAAGATGTTTCCCTGGATATTGCACATAAAGGCTAATACCTCTGCATGGAACATGCTTGCTAGACTAGGAGTACGCAGGAAATTCTTGTTTGCCACAGTCTAAATTTAGATTGAACTGCCAAGAAAATACCCAGGAATGGTTTGCCTTATTTGTAAACATTTTCACAGTATATCAGTAATTATGTTACAATTTTTCTACCCTGCCCTCTCCCAGACTTATGGCTTTTTAGAGTCAGAAAAATGACCTGTTTGGGAAACAGTGAGGTACTCTAAATAGCTGCCAGTCTGGTACACTGAAGATGTCATGCACTAAAAGAGCCATAGATATAAGGGGAGAAATCAGTATGAGACTCCAAATGTTAGAAGAGAAGTGCTTATTTCATGGGTAGTTTGTTTTTGCATCCCGATATTTCTAGAACTCGTTTTCTAAACCTACATTAATTACACAACTATGTACATTATTTAGAAGATCTTTACTACAGTACTTTTGTACATGCGTTGTTTATTACTAAATGTAAAGAGAAATTAATTACATAAGGCATATGTACAGTATTGTGTTGGGTTGCAGAGCCCTCTGCTCACCTTCCTCTTAAAGCTGCAAGGCCCATTTCATAAAGGCTTGCTGACCAGTTTACAAAACTGTCCTGAAATATATATAAAAAAAATGGAGTCAAGGCCCATTGCTTTGATGAACATCAATTAGCCTTTCCTTTTTATATACCTTGATTATATGCCAGTGGCTTTTTTTGGTCAGTTTTAGTAAACCTGGAGGTCTGAACTCGGTGAGGTGCAGAGGAAACCGTCGGTTGTTAGCAGGGTGGGGATGGAGATTCCACTGGAAGTGATGGGTATTGCAGCTTTAACCTATGCCTTTGCTTAGTCTTGTGAATCTCTTGAGTTTAAATTGGGAAGGTAGATATTTCACATCTCAAATATTTATTTTCCCAGAATTAAGAATGACAGGGAAGAAAATAAAAGTGTGTGGGAGAAAGAAAAGGGGAACAAAAAGGGAGAAGATAAAGAAGGTCATGTGGTTCTTACACCTCTGGTGGTTCTACAGTTTGGACTCGTTCTCTAGGTTTGCCACATCACCGTTTCTTTCATTTTGGTCTTCTTGATTTTTCTCTTCCTCTTCAGTTTCCAGCTCAGCATGCTGGTCCAGCTTGCTGGAAACAGACCAAGTCAGGGGCAGTTCTGCTCGGCTGGCCATCTCTGCCAGCTCTTTGGCACTGTAAACTGGTGTGTTGGTCTCATATGTTTCATGAAAACTATTGTAGTCAACTTCATAAAATCCATCCTCCAGAGTGAGGACAGGGGTGAAACGATAACCCCACAGGATCTCACTCGTAATGTATGAACTTCGAGCTTGGCATGTCATTCCTGTAACAGAGAAGGAAGAAGTGCTTTAATAAGGACCCTCTGCTTTCCCAAATCCTTTTTTTTTTCTTTTTTTTTTTTTCAAATAGGCAGAGAAGAGTATGTAAAAAAACACATACCAGCAAGATAATAGGCTTGACCTCATATGAGGTTGAGTTTAGAAAGCAATTTTATGGTGTGTAACCTATTTGATGCCTTTTCCTTCTCAAGTACATATATAATAACATGCATTGAGTCTGTGAGCAAAGTCTTAACATTTCTTCATTAAATGCAGCTCTTCTTTCTGTATTTCATCAGTGAGTTACTTGCCTGCTGCTGAGTCTAAGATTGCTTGTTGTGAATGTGCGTGACTTGCTTTGTGACATCCTTTTGATCCCTGGCAGGTGATTTTTGTAACAAACCTACATCGCCACATTCAGCACTTGCCTAGGCTAACTGAGAAACTCTGGTAAAAGCTTTTTCTCTGTTGGAGCTAACTCCTGAGCCTGTAATCCACAGGTTGACTTGGCTCCCCCAGGGGCTGGAGATACCTTTTAGTCACGTTTGAGGTTTGGATTGGTGGCCAATGCACAAACATCAGCAAAGCTCCTGGGGAACACTGTCATGGTCTGTGGTGTTGAATTCAGATGACTGGGACTAACTGTGAGCTTTGTTACCTTCCTTTCACAGCTCTGCTGGACCTCACTCTGTGAGCTGCTGTAGAGAAGTAAATCTGTAAGATAACATATCATGTTAAGAGATATGGAGATAGGCAGCCATCCCAAGTTCAAAGTCTAATTCAGGGTGTCCTCTGGCGGAAGAAAATCCTGGTTGTGTTGCAGAGCTGTGGCTTGGAGAACCCATCCCATCTCAGGCAGAAAATAAAATCTTATTGCTCAGAGGAAGAAGGGATAACTCAGCAGATCAGGAAAAATATCAGCAAAAAGGCATTTATAAGGCAAAAGAATGTTCTCAACAAATTGGGTTTACATAGAGAAGATGTGATGGTTTTCCTTTAATTATTTGCACATTATTAACTACGTTACTAATCAAACCTCAGCTAAACAGTATACATCAAATAATAAATACCAATATATATCCTCTGAACAAGTCTGCCACACATCAGTTATTTAGAAGATAATCAAAAGCAATAAAAAAAAATCTTTCATTCTGGGGGCACAAATGGCAGTCCATAGAAATGCACATCATTTCTCTCCCCTGTGAAGTCACACATAGAGTTTCAGGTAGAGCAAACATGGGTAGTTTAGTACTCTACTCTACTCTAGATGATTCTGCTTTCATTCTATTGAATCTTCTCTTCAAACTCAGGTAATTCAGGGTGTTCTTGGTACTCTGCCTTTTACATTTATAATGCCATGTTTAGAAAGCCACTTGCCAGCTGTTACCACACTGAGTTACCATGCTTCTCCAGTAGTAATTTCCAGTTATTGCCACACATCAGACACTGAGGAGTGGTGGCTGTCAAGGGAAGCTTTAGCATGAAGACTGATGCACTTTTTCTACCTGTTAGAACCAGGCAGAAAAGTGAACATACTTCTACTGTGTTTACTAATCTTAATTTCTCTTTCTTTTTCCCTTACTGAACTACTCAGACCTTCATTTTTTATTTTATTTTAATTTTTATCATTATTATATTTTTTGGTATTGCAGTGCAGGTCATGCTTACATTTCACTTCTCACGTAATGCACAAACAGAAATGTAACGATCTTACCATTTTACTGTTCATTTCACAGGTGTGAAGGAAGGAAGAATACTGGAAATCAAATGACAAAATCATCCTTTTTGAGATTTCCTGTGCAATTTTTTTAGTCTAAAGGAGATCTTCCATGCCAAATGATGGAGGAACTCAGCAGCAATATACAAGAGAAAAATGCACTGGAAATGCAGCACCTTCTGAAAGGGCTATTTCTTTTGCAGAGCTCTGGCAGAGCCAGAAGAGCAGGTGTAGTATTTCATAGGACCTCCCTGCCCCAGAGATGGTGGCATCACTGAACTGGAGGAAGAGAGGGCCAGAAGCAGCCAGGGGTGGTCTTGATGTCTTCCTTGTTATCTCAGACACCGCTCTGGACTGGCTTCCTACCTGTTCTTTGCTGCTTCATGGTGGCTTGTTGAGACCAGTGACCCCTGCATGGGTTGTCCTGAAGGAGTGTGTCACTCCTAACACTCACATGTCTCTAATCTATTTGCTGGAGAAATTTAACTTTGAAGTGAGCAGGAAATCTAGAGTCTTCATTAAAAAGGTGATGAGATTAAATTAAAAAATATTGAAGTGCCTTTGAAACAGTGTTGCCTTCCTGTGCTCTGACCAAATACCCACTGTTCCTGCTGCAGTTAGGAAAAATTCATTTGACCATTGGAAAAGAGGAGGGTAATTTTCTGCAGAAGTCAAGAAGATTAATTGAATTAGGCTTGAGTTACAGCTCATTAAAAACTAACCCTAATCTGAAATTTTGACCGATCTCTGTTTTTAATTTAGTCTCCCATTCTACAATGATTTAATACCTGTTCATTTTCCACTGACAGACAAAATAATTTCAGACCTAGAATGAGAGTTAGGATTTTTTAAATAAGTACATTGAAATCAAGAAAAAGACTATATCTAGTGAGGGCTGTGTGTATGAGAAAGTCCTTATAATGCTTTCTAAATATTTATGATAGCTGATACAGAAAAAGTCTGTAAGTGGATCAAAAGGATTCCAGATTAAAATGTCCCATGCTTGCAGAGGCCCTTGAAGTGATTGCCAGTGATCCTCTATGGATCTGAAAGCAGAACAGAGAGATTTCTGCAAGTCTGCGTTGCATGGGTTTACCTTGCTTGTTCCTTTTCTTCCTACCTTTTCTTCATTTACACCTTTATCATACACTATTGTCTAATTTGCACACATTTTATTATACACCGTGGTTTTAATTGTCTTTCATTACTTGCTGTAAGTTCTGAACATGTTCTTGGTTAATGGAATAAGCTGCATCTTGAGTGAGGGAGTTTTAAGCTTTAGGTTTACAAGTATTGCCTGATTTATTCAGTATACATGTTGTTTATATGTAGCTATAGATCTGTTGTAAAATGGCTTTAAAAATAGCTGTGGTTTGACATTTTGACTAGTGTCTCACTTTAATTGGATCCCTTCAGGGCAGATGAGAGCTGGGGAGCCTGTTGAGCTTCTTAGTTCAGCACTAATTGGACTTCTTCAAAATAAACAGAAAAATTGTGAGACCAAAATAATTCATTTAAAATTAATTAAAGCTATAACTAGAGTGATCTATTTAAACAGGAGCCTCACAGTCCAGTGAAGACCTTGAGGCTGGATGCTCAGGCCCTGCTAAGTTGCCATGGCTGATGGGTGTCCAGTGAAATCAGGGTGGCTGGTGATGACTGAGGGACAATCCTGGCTGTGTGGGGCAGCTGCCAGCCCCTGTAAACCCTTGTGAGGCAGCTCCACAGCTTCCTGCTCCATCTGTCCCTGCTCCCTGGTGCAGGAGAAAGGCAGAGGGAGGATTAGGTTGCACTGCTGTGGGCTTTATCTGACACCTGTTCATCTCACTGCATGCTGGACTTTCAACACGCTGTGAGCTGGTGAGACCTCTGATGATTCCCCTTGGCTGCTGTCTCACTCCTCTAAACTCAAAGCATTTTGAATGAGTGGTAATCAGCCCCTATACATTGCAGCTTTCACTTAGGTCTTAACCTTAAATTAATAGCAGTTTTGGTCTGTTTGTTTTATGTTTGCACAGGCTAGGGAATCACGAGTGAGCACTGCCTAAGAAATTGATTGTTGGGCAAGTTACCTATGAAGTAAAATTAATAGCTATATTACTTTCGTTCTTCTTCTTGTTCTTTTTCTTCTTGTTCTTCTTGTTCTTGTTCTTGTTCTTGTTCTTGTTCTTGTTCTTGTTCTTGTTCTTGTTCTTGTTCTTGTCCTTGTCCTTGTCCTTGTTCTTCTTCTTCTTCTTCTTCTTCTTCTTCTTCTTCTTCTTCTTCTTCTTCTTCTTCTTCTTCTTCTTCTTCTTCTTCTTCTTCTTCTTCTTCTTCTTCTTCTTCTTCTTCTTCTTCTTCTCTTTCTTCTTCTTTCCTTCTTTTTCTTTTCCTAATTATACTTAATACGCAGTTACAGCTTGATAGGCTGTAGCCAGGGTCATAAAAGTCTTCCTAAATGGCACTGTTGTGGATACCATTTCTATTGCTTTCTTATCCCCCTTCCAGGGTTGGCACTATGCAGAGAGAGTCACAAGCTGAATTTTGGTCCTTGTTACAACATGGGAAGCAAAATAAATTACGGGTTTTGGTGAAGGAGACTTTTTTTTTTTTTTTTTTTTAAATAAATAAATGAAAAAAAAAATCAGGTAAGGTAATATTGCAGCATTTTTATAGTTTTGCTTTTGAATGGGAACAAAAAGGTCCTGCTGACAGTGCTGGGAGTAGTTCCATGTATCTGAAATCAGCCATTAGTTACTATTTTGGATAATCCCATTACTATACAACCAATGTACCTACAAATCTTGTTTATTCTCTACATGGTTATTATTCCTGTTCAACAGGTAAGAATCAACAAGACTTGAGCAGCACTGTGAAGACTGGCTTGTGAGCCAAAGTCAGCCTGCTAAATTTCTGTCTGCTTTAAAGTTGACATAGAGTTGGGCTCCTGCCGCAAGGTATTTGTGCTGGGGTGGGGATGCTATTTGCCCACAGGTTAGGCTGTAGAGGACTTGGTCACATCTGTGACACTATGTTCAGACTGCTTTGACAAGAAGTTGGGACTGTGCTCTGGCTCCTGATACATGTGGGGTGTTTCTCTCCAGAGAGCCTAGGAGCATGAGCTAAGGTGACTCCCTCCCACAGGGTCTCTGCACCCCATCAGCAATTTTTCTTGCAGCTAGAGTGAAAGGCTTTTGATGTGCTTAATATTTGCACAGTGCGGTCTATGAAAATGACAAAATAATCCCCTCCAGTCATTGCTGATATGAGGGTAAGGTTACAACCCCACCTTTGACTGATTAGAATTAA